GAAATTCTTAAGGGAAAGTGTAAATAGTTTTAACATTCTGCTACAGACTGGCCCATTTTCAGTGAGCAGGCTGATAATACAATGCCAATGGGCCCCAGATCTTCGAAGCAAACTGGGGTTTCCTGGAGAATTGAAGAGCTCCAGATAGTTCAGTGGCCTCTCTCTTGTCTAAGCCAAATATCTCTGGGAAGACTAGAGGACAAGTCCTTTGTGGAAAGAACCACTCTTTTTTAACAGAAGCAAAAAAATCAAGACATTTCTCATTTTAAAATAGTAATTCACTAAACAAACAAACCAAAATACCCTGTTATCCAAACTTCTCTTTCCGTAGCCTATTTCTATAAAAACTTTCCAGCATATATTTTTTTAATATCTGGAAATGATTCTTTGTCAATAAACTCTGGTGATGTTCCCTGAAACTGAGTTGATGTTACCTCCTGTAGTGTTGGTCCTCAACGAATGGCAATTCTGTGTGGTATGAAGTAGGAGCTCTCCACAGGGGTTGTTGACTGTGAGTTTTATAGAAGCCGATCTTCAGCTTCTTCTCTGTGGAGCCACTGGAAGGGCTGGTACTGCTGCTCTTCAGGTTAGTAGCCAGTCCCCAATTCCTTGCATCCCTCAGGCTATCAACAAGTCCCAAGCCCACAGCCATTATGTCGGTCAGGCTCATGGTGACCCTACACGACAAAGAAGCTCCCCAGGAGATTTCTCACGCTACACAGATTGACAGAATCAGACTCCCACATCTTTCTTCCATGAAACGGCTTGTGGATTTGAACTGCAAGCTCTTTGCTAGCACGTTAACCCCTGAGCCACCACGTTAAATCCTTCGAGTCTCTTTAGACATAACGAATTACATATTTTGGTCTGTTTATGATTGAATATGATAGCGACTACCAAAAACACCAATTAAACAATAACAACAACAAAAGTACCCCCCCCCCAAAAATAAAAACAAAACAAAACATACCCAATCAAATCCTTGATGGTTCACAAGGCCCTCCTGAGTCTTCAGTCCATCTGGGCATTACTGTCAAGAGTAGCTGTTCTAATGCCATAGTCTGGGCATGTTACAAACATTTAAGAGCTAATAGACAATAGCTTATGTACTCATTTTCCCCATTGCCCTCAAATAAACAAACAAAAATACTAGACCCACTGCGATCAAGTTGACTCCACTCACAGCAAGCTTATAGGGCCACACAGAAATGCTCACTGGGGATTCCATGCTGTTATCTGGGCAGAAGCAGACTACAGCAGTTCCCGAGCCTGAAGCTGATACATTTGAACTCCTGTCCTATCAGTTTGTAGCTCAGTGCTTAACTGCAGCACCGCCAGGTTTATTAAAAGTAGTTTACAATATGTATAAAAATGTTCTGAAAATATTCACTTTGGACTTGTTCAAAATAAATGGCTTCTCAGAATAAATCCCTGTTTGTTTAATTGATTTCTTGATTTGTACACCTGAATACAAATATTCATATAGATATTATTTATTACCTTGAACTAAAAAAAAGAGATAGATGTTCTGTTTATAATTTAAATCTGTTGGTTTTCATGATTGTTCTTTTATACAAAGCAATGTTATCCACAATTACAAATAGAATCTTAGCAAATTGGCTTAGCATTTAAAATATATTACCTTATCATTTTTCTTTTGTATGGAAGATTCGGTTAACTTGAAACAACAATTTCTTTTGCTGAATGTAGCTCATGATTTGTTTGCAAGTTGTGAACTCAGAACCAAGAAGTATGGAATGGTTCTCTTTAATCCTCTTGTTGGAGATCTGATCCGGTAGGACGCTCATTTTCCTGCAGAAGCATATCTGAAGGGCCGGCCACTTGAACAAACAGACTTGAGATATGTCCTAGTACAGTGGGCTTGGAAAACTGCATGAGGCTGGAAAAGCAGCTATGCCTTGTCTCTTCATCAGAGTCATAGAAAATATGTATTCTTCCATGGGAGAAAAAGGGCAAACCATATACACTCAAGTTTGCTAAACTTATCAGTTTGCTTGGCATTTGGTAAGAAAAATAGAGACCATTCTATTTTAGTACTGATAGCAAAGATAATTGACATGTATATAATAATCTTATTAAATTCCATCTTAAATTTGTTAAAAAAAACACCCTAATCCTGTATGAGACATCTTATTTACTTTCATAGAAGATTATTGTAAGGTAATAGAAAATTGAGAATATAAGCTAAAATCTAATGCAATTTCCCAAACTGAGTGAGTCTGCTCATAAAAATTATATGTGAATTAAATCTATTTAATTACAGATTAAAACTCAGCTTTGGTTACAAAATAATGTATTTAGAAGTCATCTGATCATTATAAATGTAAGAGACTGAATGTTGATAGATGGATAAAAGGAATAACGTTGAGTCCCTGGTGTTAATCCATTACATGGATTTTATAATCTAGCAGAAATTGTAAATTAAAGACTACTAAAATTTTTTAATAGAATAGTTGGACCCTTCATATCCTCTTTATATTAAGATCTATAGTGGGATACGCCTTGGACCTCAAGGTTAACAGCCCTTCGAAATCACTAGCCGCTCCTACAGAGCAAGATGAGGCTTTCTACTCTGCGAAAGAGTCAGTCTCAGACACCCACAGGAGCAATTCTGCTCTGGCTATAGGGTTGCCATGAGTCAGCCTTGACTCCAGGGCAGTGAGTTTTTAAATATATTTAAAAAATTTTAAGTATTCTAGATATTTAATGTTTCTTATTTCATTATGTCCTCAAGAAGGAGAAACTAATATTAGTGATTGAGTCCATGTATAAAATTGCATAAATACCTAGTTTATGTTACCATAATGTAATAGCTCTAGATTGGTTTCACATGAGTTTAGAAAGTTCGTTTCCCGTTATTTCTGCTCAACTTCTTTAGAAAATTCTAAATCACCTCCAAAACCAAGTTTAGTACTCCCTCTTGTGGTAGATTTACTTCAGAAAATAAATATTACATCAAGACTCACTAAAAAACCCGTTTTCATTTTGGTTTAAGTTATTAAACATTAGGTGACTACAAAACGAAGCTTCAGACAGAGAATTGCCAGTATTTTTTTTATTGACAATGGAGAGGGGATCTGTCACCATTAACTTTCAACTAAATCTGTCAAAGAAAAAGACATAAAAACAAATGTAATGTACGTGCAAACATAGCAAAATGAAAACACACAAAAATGAAACAACTATGACAGCTTTTGCGCTTAATCAGATCAAGCAGCAGAAAATCAGCAGTTAGATAAATGGTATTATTAAATTTTACTTTGAAATTCCCCATGTAAACAAAGAATAAACAATAGTAACACCACCAAATAAAACCACAGGGAAGAGCTTACTCTTCCGTACTTTTATACACTATATATGTTAATCATTCTGTCTTTTATTTAGTACCTCTGATAAAACTGACTTCAGGGAAGTCGCAACAAGGCCATCTTGGCTAAAAGCTGATTACATTAGACATGAGTCTGGCGAATGCCCTGTTACATTAACAACAGGGGAGGGCTTCTGAGGTGGTAATTTTTTCCAGTAGGAAATGAACCTCAGAAATACAGTGGTTGACATTCACTGTCCAGTACTGGCTGGCAGGTCAGAGTATTAAATATTAGAAGGAACATATGGTTCTTAGGTAAAGAATTTTTTTTCTTGGTCCACAGGTGACAAGAGAAGATAATGTTTAACTTTAAAAACTTTTTTTTTTTTTTTAACAATTGCTTTTGACTCTTATAAACAGTTTGGCTTTGCTTTATATTGAAAAGGAGATTGAGCCATCACAGTGCTTATCTGAAGGTGAAGGACATCCCTGATTGCCTTGAAAGGTCCATTTTTTTTTGGCTCCAGTTCCAGGTTAAATCATTCTTTGATACATGATCAGAGGCAGGTGTTCAGCTTTGAGTATTGACAGACTTGAAGGAGAAACATGGATCCTGCAAGCATGGATCCTGCTTCAAGGAAATGTACTGATTTGACTGTTAACAATTCAAAAACTGTAAAAATGGAGAAATGGTCAAATACAAACATACGTAGAATCGTCAAATCTTTGCACTCGAGACTCCATGAACCATATATTTTATTTTTTAAAAATCATATTTATATCCATTTACATAAGACTTACACATTTAAAAAGAAATCCATACACAGTCATACATAAATGCCTAATATATTACAGGAAAACATGGAAAAACAAGTCGCTCCATCTCATAAAAGCATCGGTTGTACAGAATTTATGATGTGGATGACGCTTATTTTCAAGTGACTTAAGTATTTTATAACAATTGCAGTAAACTAACCAAACTCAGTATCTGGCTGTTCCCCAAATTACATTTTCAGCATGATGATCAATTACTTTTTGATACTTCCTTAGAGCTCAGTCTTCATGCAACTTTTGCTGCTTGTCTTTTTGATGGCAGTGCACTTTAGGTAGAGTAGACCGAAAAGACGACATCTGAAATACATAATCGACATGGTCAGTTCATTGAAAAGCCCTAGATCAGAAATAAAACAGAACAAAAATCCCTCGACAAAGCTATGCTTCTCCCATCGTGCTATCACAACGAAATAGGAGCAGGACTGACCAGTATCTGTGTTTACTCTTCCCCAAGTATTTGCACAGGAGTTTGAAATAAGTAGTCACTCAGTTTTGTGGAAAGTATCGCAAATGTATACATAAAAGTACTCACAGAGTGCCAGCCTGCCTTTTGTAAATCTACAGCATGCCAATTAATATATTGGTGAATTTGACCTCTTCTGTGGAGTAGATTTATATTCTAGTTCATATACTTTAGATCTCTTGACCAATTGTGTTTTAGTAACTAAGTCACATACATTAAAGGATCTCCATCTGAGATATGCTATCATTGATCCTTTCTAGTCCTAATATCACTAGGAAAAATCTCATAATTACTATTCCTACCAAAACAGCCAAACAAACAAAAACAACTTAGTAAATAATATGCCCTGGATTACTTGAATAAGAAAAAAAATACAATTTTTTCATCACAAGTGAAGTTGGTTGTCCTTAAGTTTACTTATTATAAATAAATATTTTAATGGTGAAGCTAAGAAATATGAACTAGAATGTCATGCACAAAATACAAATTACACATAGTTCAAGAGTAATTCTACCCATCAGTCAAGAATTAATAAGCAAACACTGCTGAACTTAGTAAGTTGTCATTTGTAAATTAGTTAAATGCAAAGTACAAGGAAAATTATCCTGTTCTGCGTAGAAACTGTCATAAGCAGTATTTTGGAAAGTCTCATATTCAGCCAAACTAATAACTATTTTAGATAGTGCCAATTCGATGACAAATTGTATACCATAATTAGACATTTGAATCTGAGACTGGCATTCTGAAATTAAATCTGCTATCATCTAAATGGTTGTGTGTTTTTGGTTTTAAAGTCATGACCCAAATCTGGTAGCAAACCAACCCTCATACTAGGTCCGAAAGACCAATAGTAACTTGTGTTCCACCTTTAGCTCAAGGCAATGAATAAAGAGCACACAGTGCTCTGTCCCTCTGTCCACAATGCTCTATTGCCTATTCCCCTATGCATATTGGTTCTAAATATTGCTCTAAATAGTCTGTTTGGAAACATTGATTCATTGAAGATGGTAGAATATTTTGGCAAAGCATAGGTTGTTGTTATTATCCAAAAGAAAACTTCTGTGAGCATTTGCACATTTACAAATCTGGGAAACCATGGTTTTATTAAAACTGCTTATATGGATTGGAATTAACTTCAATCAATTGATATTTTTCTGAACATGAGTGTCCTGTATCATAGTGTTATACAGTGAGGTTTTATGTGGGTCCATGACCCAGAATTTTAAAGTAATGCTATTTTGCTTGATATCTTTTTGATGACCATAATGTCTCCCTTTCTGCCTGTGGGATGGTTCATGTTAAGCCTAGTAGGATGGTAAAACTGACAATTCCCTTTTAGGGCTCTATCTACCTTACCTACATCATTAGCAAGTTATCTAAGCCTCGTGGTTGGCCACAAGCATCTCACATAGTCCTATTCAGTCACTTGGTGGGAGTCAACAAGGACTATAGCTAGAAGGGCCATCCAAAGCAATTCACCACAATATTAAGAACCACAGATACTTAAAATTCATGTTGGTTTTGAAGGCATGCAAAAGGTACAGCATTTTCGAACTCCTATATAGTTAGCAGCCCAAAGGGCAATACATCACAATACCAGGGACCCCTGCTCCATATGAAACCATCTCCAAAAACTTTCCAATCTGCTACGTATTACTTTTTGAACTTGCTTAAATGACTATCTGCTTACTTCAATCCCCCTACAAAAAATTCACTGAAAAATAGATTATTTCGTGTCAAACTCTCATCAGTAAAACGCTATGTGAACCACTATAAAATACAATCAAGTAGTAGAAGGCAGTGTACAACCAACCCGGTGATGTGGAATAGCATAATGACAGGCCTGCAGCAGAGAATTAAACCATAGCAGACAGAAGGTGATGGAAACCCTTGATTGTTTCAACACAAAGATTCCTTCCCCTAATACAAAGGGCTTAGGTAGCTCACCGCTGAACTGCGAGGCCACAGCAAAGGCGACCACCGTGTTTATTTTCTAGTCTAGGTAAGTTCCAGGGGGGTTGTTTTTGTTGCTGGTTTGCTTTTTGGCAGTCAAGGGAAACTACTCACAGCAGGTCAGTGCTGCCTCCTTTGAGTGGCTTGTCAACATGAGTATGTGCGAACTGTGGAGTTGTCTAACCTCTGCAGCCTTGATGAAGCAACTGCAAACGGAGAAAAGGGCTTTAGCGGGACTCGGATGATTGAGCACAAAATTTCAGATGAGAAAGATTTATTTCCCCGGCAAAAAGGGTCCCAGGATCTGCTAATAGACTTTCTTTCTCTTAAATATATGCCACTGACATTCCTGTTCTAGACCACGCTATGAATGAAAGCGTGTACCAATTCAATTTAACTGAGCTTTTCAATTGCTAAGGAACCTCCTTGAATGAATGGATACCAAGAGCAGCTCCCCAGCGAGCCACACGTTTAAACAAAGATGCTTTTAGATGACTCAATATGGTATCCTTTTTCCTCCAGGTTTAAAATGTGCTGACATCTTTTTAATCCTGTTAAATTTGTACTAAACATGTTTCACAATATTAACGAGTTATACAAAATTCAGATTTAGGATCAACTTTTATGTTGGAACTAATTTTAATGGCCATATAGCTATGGCTTTGAAGAAATCATGACTGATTATTTTAATAAAGAGCATGTGTGTGTGCATGTGTGTGTGTGTTTCCTTGGTGCCTCTTAAGCAGAAATAACTCTGACGATCATTTCAAAATGTACTCTCATTCTGATGGTTGTTTGTTCTTTGGGAAATATATAACATAAGACAATTGTCCACCAAGGCAAATACTACCTAAGAAATCACTGATGTGTTTCTTTCATTCTCATCTCATGGATGTGCTTGTTTAGTTAAGGGTCTAACTCCAAAATACAACATTTACACACTCACTGCCTTCCAGTCAGTTCCGAAGCATAGTGACCCTATATAGAACGGCCTTTGTGGGGTTCCAAGACAGTGCTCTCTACGCGAGTAGAGAGCTTCAGCTTTCTCTCCGGACACTTGACAGTTTTGAATTACTAACTGCTTCGTTAGCAGTCCAGCACATCACCCACTAGAGCAGTGGTTCTCAGCCCTCCTGATGCTGCGGCCCTTTCATACAGTTCCTCATGTTGTGTGACCCCCAACCATAATATTATATCTGTTGCTACTTCATAACTGTAATTTTGCTACTGTTATGAATTGGGTAACCCCTGTGAAAGGATCATTCGACTCTCAGAGTGGTCACGATCCACAGGTTGAGAACCGCTGCACTAGACCTTCAGGTTTCCTCTGGTCAGATGTGTGAATATTCCAAAATAGACAACTTGCAATATTCAAAGATGTAGGATGATGTGGAATTAATTTCCATTGACCAAGAGTCTGTAGTCCAAATGCAAACTTTAAATTATTTACTTTGGCAATAGAAGAGTGAAGAAACGCAAGTCATATACATGTAATTGTTCCTCCTGGGTGAGGACATTATTCATACTTCTTTTCGTTAGGATGCCATACATGCTTGCATGTGAACCAGTGCTATGAAGTCATGCATTAGCACTTCACAGAGGAGTCTCTTTTGATAAAAGCAAAGCAAATGTCAAGCTCAGCAAACCAACGCAGAAAAACAAAGTACAAAAGTTCCATACCATCCGTTGTCATTTTCCTCGACTGCCCAGATGTTGTGGTTAACCTGAATCCAGCTGGTAATGTTTCTGAGGAGCCAGGCATCATGCTGATCCCATGTACTTCACGGGGAGGAAACTGCCTTCTCCAGGTGGACCCACGTCGGAAATTCTTGTCATCACTCTGCAAGTACAAATGTATCGTTGGATGAAATAAAATTTAAAAAGTGAACTTATTCAGGTGTAACAAAATGTGTGCATAGAAACATGTAATCTACAAAGCTTACATTTAGTCTGTCAATTGCAAACACACATACCACATACACATATATTTTACATACTATATATTTTAGTCTATAACATGCATATCATGTGTAGGAAACTAAGTAGGGTGTTTTGCAATGAAATGTATAAAATGCCTTTTACTTGTGTTTAAATATAGTGTGTGGAGAACTTGGATAATATTGTTATATTCATAAAGCACGACACTCACAAATGAGAACTTCTGAAGACTCTGAAATGGGGCATTAAAAAGACTTTTACCGTTAGTCTCATCTAAAGCCTGCCATCCATTAGGGAGACGTCATCAGAAATCTAAAATAAGATGGCAGTGTTCCTCCAAAGCATGCTGAGATCTTTTGTGATATTTTATTCTAATTGATTTAATAATATGACATGACATGTCTAATTGACTATACTGTGGAGTCACACACTTTAATACTGATGATTCATGAAGTTTGCTTTTAAGCGCACAAATGATCCATGTGGAAAATCTATACATGAGGCAGTCTGGTTCCCATGGGATATTGAAACTTAGAATCAGTGGGAAAACTCTACATTTGTCATTTGTTAGATTTTACCAGATCTAGAATCAATTTAATTTGTGGAAAAGCTTGTGCAGCATTTTGTGATAAAACCTGAACACTGTTCCATAAACACTTTGTCCTTTGCGGTGCCACAGAATGCATGAAGTACCTCGGATGCTGTTTTATTGTTATTGATACTATTTCTTTTCTGCATGTAGATACGCACAAGCCCAAAGTACACAACTATTTTCTATACATTGGGAAACAGCAATATGTAATTTACTGAGTGCCATTTGCTATTCTTTACTTTTCTATTTGTAAGATAGTATATAGCAACTACTGTTAATATTTGAGCTTAATTCTTAAAAATGTATTAATGATACCAAACAGAGCTTCCCATTTTATACTTAAGTTTCTCATTTCTGAAAAGTCTGTCCATTCCCTGAAACAACAGCTCATTAGGTGTGCATCTGTTGGCCATACTAGCTCCATTGATTACATTTTGGTGTAAGAGACCACAGCAAAAAGGTCATGGAAAAATGAAATTCACGATAATGATTTTTTTTCATGATGTTGAAACCCCATCACCAAGATTACTAGGCTATTTCTTATCCAGATTATCATTGTGATATAGGGGAGTATTCTTCATAGGCTATTAATTTAAATTTTATTCAATGTTCATATGTGAAAAACAATGATTCTTATATAATTACCTATATATACTATTCTATGAGTATATTTATTATCAATCCATAGGGTTTTTTCTGCCACTCCTCTTCTCAACCCCTTCTCAATAGCTGTCCTAAACGAGCACCCATCTGTCAGTTTGTCATACTCTAGTAGTTTGCCTGTTGCTGTGAAAGTCATGCCACCAGCATTTATTTCAAATACTAGCAGGATCATCCAAGATAGGCAATTAAAGTGGAGCTTCCAGACTAAACCGGGAAGAGGGATATAATGGTCTACATCTGAAAAATTTGGCCAGGAAAGCCTTATGAATCGCAGAGGAAGATTGTCTGATACTCATATCGTGGCCGAAGATGAGCCCTTCAGGACAGAAGGCACTTCAAACCCAACTGAGGAAGAGCTGCCTGGTTCTTGTAGAGCTGATCTCAAGACATGGATGGAGTAAAGTTTTCAGGATTTTTATTTGCCTATGTGCATAACTCAAAATAGGAAGAAACAGCTGCAAATATCAATGATAATAATCAGAACGTAGAATGTAAAAAGTATAAATCTAAGAAAAAATGAAATTAGCAGGAATAAAGCATGAAGATCAAAATCCTACGCTAAGAAGCTGAAATGAACTGCTATTGGTCATTTTGAATAAGAAATCACACTTTTTACAGTTTCAGGGATAATAGCCCAAAGAGGAATGTTATATTAATTGTCAAATTTAAAAAATCTATCCCGAAATATAACACTATCAGTGATAGATAATGTCTACTTCTCTGTAAGGAAGATCAGTTAATATTAATATTATTCAACTTTACACAACAACAGCTAATGTCAAATAAAAAGAAATCATAAAACTTTACCAACTTCTGCAGTCTGGAGTTGATCAATGATGCAATTAAGATGTGTTGATAACTACTGGTAATAGTAATAAGAAGTTTGAAGATGACGGATTAGGTTTTACATTTGTAAAATAAGACCTTGTTGATAGAAATGACAGATTACACTATAGAAATTTGCAAGGGCAGTTACTTATTAATTGCAAATATCATTTTTCAGCCATATAAATGGTGGAAGATCTATGTGGAGAATCTATATAAGAAGCAGTCTATACATGTGAACCTCACAGGATAGAACACACAAGGTTAGCATCTGTGAAATAAGATAATGGAGAAGCTCAATATACTTAATCAAAATAATGATGGGGCAGCTGTGGAATAGACTTCCAACTGCTTGTGTGTAAGTTCAAGCTAAAGGTGAAGAAATTTAAACAAGCCCCAAATATTAACTTGAGTATATTCCACCTGTGATAGTTAGTTTTGACGCCAACTTGGCTGGGCAGGATTCTCAGTGATCAGGAAGTCAAGGTCTAGCACGCCCCCTTCATGGGCACTAACACAATGCTATCACCGCCATACTGGGATCTGCTATGAGAAAACAATCAGTTGTCGCATTAGGGTGGGATTCAACCCCCTTACTTGAGTCACAGCCCTGATGCAATTCAAAAGAAGTCTTGAAGGTTTATATAAATATAAGGAGATTCCTATATAAGGAGATTCTGTGGTAAACCTATTTTCCTTTTGCTGGGTCTGGAGCCTGCATCTAGCTTGTCAACCTTCAGTTCTTTGAACTTGAGTCAACAACCTGCTATATTACTTACCAGTCCTGGGAGCCATCAGTAAGCAGCCTGTCATCTGACCTGATGACCTTGTATTCCCTGGCCTCTCTAGTTACAAGCCTGACCTTCTGCCTGGAATCACCCCCTTCTGCAGCCACCAATGTGTGATCTTCCTGCTAATCTTGGATTCTGCCACCCCAGAAACAACTCTAGTCCGGAGACACCCCCAGCTTAAAATATGACCTATCGTCTTGGAACTTGCCTGGATTCATATTTGCCTGCTTCTAGCTTTTACAACTGTGTGTCAATTCACTGATATGAATGATTTATTTATTGCAATCGACATTTCTACTGGCAAAGCTATTTTTTAAAGTGTTAATAAATAGGTTTAAGTCAGTTTGAAGATTAAACTGCACCTGATCCAAGTCATGATGTTTTCATTCATCTCATTTACATATAAAAGCTGGATAATGAATAAGAACAACCAGGAAGAATTTTTTAATTTGAATTTGTGTTTTAATTTTGGCTTCAAATATTAAAACATAATATGGACTCCAGAAGAATGAACAAATCTGTCTTGGAAGAAATAGAATCTTCCCTGCAAGCAAAGATGGAGAAACTTCTTCTCAAGCAATGTGGGCATGTGTTTAGGAGAAACTAATCTCTGGAGGACGCCATGCCAGATAAAGCGGAGGGTCAACAACAAAAAAGGAAGACTGTCAACAAGGTGTATTGATACCAGGGTCACAACAATCGGCTCAAACTTAGCAACACTTGTGATGATGGCTCAAGACCAGGCAGCGTTTTGTTCTGTTGTGCATAATATGTCTATACGTGAATATGACTTGACAGCACTTGGCAAGAATAGACTTCCAAAAGTTGTAGTTTTAGAAGAGAGACAGCATTCTCTTACTTCTTAATTCTTGGAAAACTTGTAGCATAAACATGATTTTTCTTTTTTTAAAAAACTTTTTTCAAACACTACATTGAAACTCCTATCACATGCTAAACATGGACTAAAAAATAAGTTAACAGTTTCAATCATGAACATTGACCTCTACTTTTAACTTTCAATGAAGTTAACTTTAGAGAGTTAATAGTTCCTAATGGCAACAAGATCACTGGGCTAACATTTTTCATGAGAAAGACATCCTTTTACTTGTGTTTAAAGCTCATTGGAGCACACAACTTCTCAATTTATTTCAGAAGGGGGGATCTGAATGTGATCAGCAAAGCCCCACAGCTAGCCCATTCTAGTGTTTGGCAAGTCTGGCTAATTGTATTCATCCTGAAGCAAAACAAAACAAACAACAAGCTTAGGGTAAAAGAGTTGAAAAGGTTTGGATGATTAAAATTATCTATGTTCTTTCAAAACAAGAACAAAACCGAGCACGTTTTTAAAAGCAAACAGTCCCATAGCGTTTTATTGACCCAAAAGACCTATCTGGCCTTCCATACTATTGGGAGGCAATACAAAACTATACTCCACCTTAACTAGTGTCTCCACCAGAATTACTCCAGCAGGGCTATCGGGGATTTTAGAATGTAGGAAGACAACTTATCTTTAGTACCTTGAATGAAAATCCAGTGTCCAATTTTCAAGTCATAATAATAATATATTTAAATGCGTGCATGACTTTGTTTTCCTCTTGCTGTTTTTGTTTAAAAAAGCAATTTTATTTGCATATGATTCATATATATATCATACCATTCAAAGCATGTGTGACTTTTTGAGATGATTCTTGAATTAACAATAATGATTAAGGATTAAAAAGATTGCTAAGCTGCTTACAAATGCTGAAAGGTGGCTAAATGTGAACTGACTGTAGAATACATTAGTAATGATTCTGATAAGGCAGCAGTAACATGTTTTAGGAATATATCTTATGTCAGGAATTCAGACCTAATCTATGATCTCAGCATATTCCACAGTTTGGGTGTTATATAATAGGATTTTTTCCTGATTTTGTGAATGGAATAATCTTAGGAAGTGCTGGGTTATTTATAAAGTATTTCAGTTAATCCATATCTATAACCAAGAATGATTGCACTTGGCAATGCAGAATATGAATTTCTGTATTCCCTATGTCATACTCATGTTCCCTTCTCATGTCTTCCAGAAAGACCACTAAAAAATCCAGAAGGATTTGCAAGAGGATTTTGAATACACAAAATTGACTAATGCTCACTGTATGAGTCCATCTTATTAAGCGACTTACTTGTTTATTATTTTTCACACATTTGACCAATTTGTGGTCCATCGAACATGTAATATCCACTTAAAATCTCCCCCTTTGTGGTTTAGTGGAAATTTGTTACCCCATGTTTGATTCATTCTGACATCTGATTGGGACCTGTATAGCTGTTTTAATCTGAAGAAATTAATTTTATCCCATGAACTCTAGTATCAGAGACCCACATATGTGTCCCACTAATTTGATATGAATCTTTATTATCTTAAAAATAATTTTTGTGTTTTAGTCAAAATGCTTTCCATTTTAGAAAAAAATGGTTTCAACAAAAACATTTCAAAGCAGAAAATAATTCAGTCTTGAAAGGGCTCAACATGAATCTATTATATATATGATTCTTAAGCTCAATGTAGTTTCCAAATACTATTCTGTTAGAATGTTATTCACTAGATTTTAAGAAAAAAATGTGATTATCTAAAATAACAAAAAAGCTTACTGTTTGTTGAAAGTAGCTTTTCATTTTAATATTAAAAAAACCCTCCCTTTAAATATCTGAGGGGGTACCAAAAATACCTGGAAAAATAGTGCCCCTGGGCAAAGCTTCCCTAGGATGAATTTTTACCACTAGATGATCATCCAGCAACTTGCTCTGAGTTAGTGCACCTAGTGGCATTGGCTTGGAAAATTCTCTCTGGTCACAGTGAATTTTTTTGTAAAAGGAGTTTTGTTGGAACCTTGTTTTTTTGTGGTGGCCGATTTAAGAGACTAGCATATGGCTGTGAAGTTTTATTTCCTCATCAAAATGCCGCAGAAACTGCTGTGATGTTGAACACAGCTTACAAGAACAGTGATATAGGAAAAACTCGGGTGTACAAGCAGTTTTCTCAGTTCAAAAAGATGAAATGTCGATTGATGACAAACCTCATTTGGACGTCCATCAACTTCCTGAATTAATGAAAGTGCTGATAAAATCTGTGCACTTGTGTCTGAAGACCGGCAACTGACCATGGAAGAGATGGGGAAGCTATCTGGGCTATCATGGAGCTTGGTTCAGAGAATTTGAATGGAAGATTTGGGAATGAGAATGATCACTTCGAAATTTGTGCCTTGGGTTCTGAGTGACCAGGAAAAAGAGCATCAGGTGGAAACATGCTGTGCTTTGAAAGAACAGCTCTGAAGTGACCCAGACATTTTTCCCCAAGGCCATTATGGGTAAGGAGACATGGTGCTATTCTTATGACTCAAAAGCAATCATCAGTCAAACCAGTGGAAGATGCCATTGTCTCCTCACTCAAAAAAAGCTTGACAAGTGAAGTCAAAGATCAAGATGATGTTGTTGTTGTTTTTTAATCTGAGAGGGAGAGTGCATTTGGAGCTCATGCCACCTGGTCAGACTGTTAATCAAGCCTTTTATTTAGAGGTTTAGAAAAGATTGCTTAACAGTGTGCGACAAAAAGGCCTGACTTGTGGTAGACGGGGGACTTGTTTTGCCACCACAACAATACACCTGCTCACGCAGCCATCTCAGTGCGCCAGGTTTTGGAAAACACAGCATGCCTCTCTTGTTCCACATACCTTACTCACCTGACCTCCCTCCATTTGACTTCTTTTTGTTTCCCTGACTGAAGAGGGACATGAAAGAACAGTGATTTGAATACATGAAAGAGGTGAAGAAAAAAACGAGGGAAGCGATATCAGCCATCCAAACAGATGAGTTTGAAAAATGTTTCCAAGAATGGAATTGCCAATATGACAAGTGTATCAAGTGTAATGGAGAGTACTTTGAAGGTAATAAGTTTGTTTTGTAAAAAAACTTAAATGCATAGCTTAAAAAAATCTGTTTTTTTTTAATGGAGGTACCCCGTCACATGCTGGTATTTGTTAAGTACACTACTTCTTTTAAAAGCTGAAAGTATCAGTTTTATCATTTCACATTTTTAACACTTTTATATTTTTCCAACATTATTTTATTGTTAGAGCTGATTTTGAGAAGTCTTTTTTTGAAATGCTCTAGTGTTTCATCGCTGAAATGATATTACATACATATATATACACATATCTCTATAACTTAAGTTACTTTCAAAATCAAATGACTAATATAACTTTATGTTGATATTGAAGAACAATACTGGGAAAAAGGCACCCTAGATTCTAACACAGAGCAAGCATTCTGTTATTTTTCTGAGTATCCTCCCTTAAAAGCCAGGAAGTTCCATTATGTTCGACATACTCTCTAAGATGCGTTGTGAATGATAGTTAAAAACTTACTTCATCCAACCGCCGTTCAGTTCCCAGGGCCAAGAGGTTATTGTATTCCCTTTCAAGAATCTGCCTTGCCTGTTGATATCAAATTATAATTACAATTATAATTATAATTACAAATTTAATGAAGTAAATCACATAGACTAGATTTATCTAAGAAAACATCCCAAACCCTGCTTCAGTTAATGGATCTTAAGTTTTCATTCTTCAGTGTTTGAAAGCCACTGAACATTTTACCTGTAAATACAAAAGTGCTTTGGTCTGGGCTCACAAAAATTCCAATGGTCCGGGGTTTTGATGTCATTTTTCTGCTTGATATTAATTGAGTGTTCTATATAAATGTTTCAATATGCAAAAACAGAGGTGCAGTTGGACCGCCAAATTCTTATCAAGTCAATACAGGTATATAATTCTCAAACCTAGCTGGTCGTGGTCATCTGCGGGAACGGCAGGGAATACACATTTCTGTGACCTAGCTCTGTAATGTGAGTTGGAGGTTTTAATTTTAATGTTTAAGGCACTCTGGTGCTTGAAATCGTTAGTCAGATTTAGAAATCACTGTTTATCCAGGCCTGAGCGACTATAATTCAGACATTAATAGAATTGACTGCCTCTCAGAAATGCAGAGACTGAAGGCCATCTGTCGGGGAAATTGTTTGGGGGAATCTGACATTCAGGTGGGAGGCTGAACCATACAACTGCTTAATCCCTTCCCACGTTAATTTTGGGATTCTGTTTTGGCTACAAATCCAGTAGCTTGAAATTAATACCCCAATGACATATTTCAAAGGTTGAGCTGACTCTCATTAAGAATCATGAACAGACTGCTAAATCTTTCTCCCCTGCCTAAGAGTTGAGTTAACCATGATGCAAAACCGGGCAGAGTGTCACTACTGCACAGCGGGGCTTGCCTGGGTGTTCTGTGTTGGAATCTGTAACAACAAAGCTAAGCTGCTGTAGTCAAAGTTCTCATCCAGGGCTATCAGTGATCCATGCACACCACTCTCAAGAATATTATTCGCATAATCTCGAAGTCCAATTGCTTGTATCCATCGAATAACTCGGTCATTGCTCCACACCAACACATCTAGAAAAGAGGTGCACTATTTTAGGCTGCAGCACTTTGTGTAATAAACAAAACCCAGAGGGGAAATGAACCATGGGCCAGGTCACCATTTATGCTGATTTCTTTATTCGTCCCCTAATGTCATCCATTGGATTACTGTTATAGCTAGCTAGCATATTTTAACTTTTGATATACACAAAAATTATTTTATATCAGAATGTGTGTTATCCCAGAAAAGACCTCCACCCCTGGAGCCCACTGCCTCAAAGCCTTATTGTTTTCTCATTAGCGCCATTAGGCTTGACTTGAAGTTCAGTGTTTTCACCGCCAGATGGAGACACTTCTTTATTGTGCCATATGCACGTTTCTCCAGTAACTGAAGAACAAACTGAGAATTTAACATGCTTTAAAGAAAATCTGATTAATTAACCATTACTTAGAACATTGAATATACTAGAAAATTCTCTTTCAATCTGAAGCAATGTATAGGAGACCACTAAGATGCTGTAAGAATTCAATTAGTTTCCACTTCCCGGACTATTTTGTACATGCATTGTTTCCCAATCGTATGCTGATGCAAAGCTCAAAGGTACCATTTATTTTCTTTAAATGATAGCATTTTATTGGGGTATAAAACATTTTGAATGTTATTTTGTAAAGGTAAAACCTTTACAGAAAAGTCAAGTGTGCCTTTTCTAGAGCACAATGTAAGCAGCTTATTTCATCATTTATTTTTCCCATGTTTTCCACTGAATTGACAAAATATCATATTAAATAAGTGAAACGGAAGTTAATAAAAATAATTTATTTTATGATATATAAGAAATGACAATATTAAGAAAATTTTATAATGTCCTCATAAAAACTCATAGAAAGGGAATTGTGAATCATATTTTACTCTTACAGCAATTTTCCCAGCTACTATTTTTTTCTGAATAAAAATTTATACATTTTTTTAAAGGTATATAAGATATCAGGGTGTGTCTATGATTTATTTTTTCTTAAGGGTGATTGTTATGGTGCTTAGGTTTATAAGAATAAGCCCACATGGAAGAAACACACCATCCTGTAAGATGACAAAGCGGCGAAGGGGTCAGGTATCAGGCATCAAAGACCAAAAAGAAACAAAAAACCATAACATTGTGAATGACTGGGAGTGCAGAGTGGGGACCCAGGACCCATCCGGGGGAAATTGGACATCTCCTTGCAGAAGGGCTAAGGGAAGGTAAGGAGCAAATCAGAGTGCAGTGTAGTAACGATGAAATATGCAATTTTCCTCTAGTTCTTAAATGCTTCCTCCCTACCCACTACCATGATCCCAATTCTACCTTACATATCCAGCTGGACTGGAGGATGTACACTGGCACAGACAAGAACTGGAAATACAGTGAACCCAGGACAGATGAAACCCCCAGGACCAGTAGAGAGAGTGGTGATAACGGGAGGGTGGAGGGAAGGTGAGGGAGAAAGGGGGAACAGAGGACAAGGTCTACATATGGCCTCCTCCCTGGGTGACGGACGGTGGAGAAGTGGGTGAGGGAGACGTTGGATGGGGTAAGATATGATAAAATAAAAATAATTTATAAATTATCAGGGGTTCAGGGGGAGGGAGGAGTGGCGAGGGAGGGGGTAAAAGGAGGAGCTGACACCAAGGGCTCAAGTGGAAAGCGGGTGTTGTGAGAATGATGAAGTCAACATATGTACTAATGTGCTGGACACAAATGAGGTATGTACGGATTGTGATGAGTTGTATGAATCCCTAATAAAATTATTATTTTAAAAAAATTCTCATTTATTCTAGCAATTTCTAATCAATTTGGGGTTTTATTTTGCAATATTAAAGCAACAGAGTGATACCAGCTCCAGGCAGTGGAGCTAAACTCAAAATAAAGCAAAAGGAAAATTATTAGGTGTTGGTAAAGATGCAGAGTAATTGGAATTTTCATTTTTTAATCTACTAATTGATTGAAAGCATTATGTAATTTTTCTTGTTTTTTTCCCCCCTGTAAATTTGGTGAATTACATAGTGGAATTTTCAGATCTCTAACTTAATGTTTCTGGAATAAGCTATACATCTCATCATGTATTATCTTTTTAATGTTTGGATTTTGCTGGTCTGAGATGATCTTTTCTAGTATCCTCGTTGACTCTTAGGATCGAGGGTTTTCTGGTCTCCTGAGATGAGTGTTTTCTTCTTTGTCTTGTCCTTGGAAGTTTATGTAAAGGATTTCTGTTAGCTCTTTCTTTAGTATGAAGAACAACTCACTGATGTAAGATATACAAGGATGGAGATTAAGTTTTTGTTTTGTGAGAATGTTTAAATTATTCAATTTTTATAATAGTGTGTGTGTATACCATTGAGTTATTAAACTACTAAAATCTTCATTCATTTTCTAGGAATTTGCTTATATTTTCCCAGCATGCCCTAATCCATTCATTCATACTTGCTTCTAAGACTTCTGAGATCTGCAATGCCTGTTGAGTTTTTAGAGCAGGAATTTATACGTCAGGTTCCTACAGCATCTCCTTCCTCGGCACCTTCAGCACACTGTCAGATTTACAAACAACTTTGTTTTGTGTTTTTATCTTTTAGACCCCAGCTTTCTGTTCCACTTTTTAACTTCAAATCCCATGTCTTTTATCAGTCTGCTGAGATTTCAAGAAGAAAGCTGTATAAAATAGCAGGTTTATCTCTTGAATGTCCTATTCCCCAGCCCTTTTTCCCCTCGTGACTTGGATGTTTGGGGAGCTTCATAAGCCATTTGTGAAGTATCTATCTTTTCTATTTGTTGGTGGTCAGACTATATAGTCTTATCCAAGTTATCCAATAAAGCCAGAGTTGGAAGTTTCTCAGGTTAAAGTTTAGGTTTTGTTGTTGTTATAGCCTATGCCAGACAGCATTTCACAGCATTTTCTCTATGGGTAAAACATTTGTACATGGATCTGGTGCCGAAAGACACATCTCATGGACCTGTACTTTGTGCCTCTGTTGCAGCTCGATTACTCTCATTTCTGGACCAAGGGTCTAATCTCCCTGTGCACTTAATTAATGAGGAGCATGTGTGGAAAGACTTAAACTGTACACTCTCTACAACCTATTACAGTGTCCTACTTCATTCAAAGCAGAATGGTTCTATTTAGGAAGTAAGGTGGTGCTTGGCCCCGCCAGAGTTTTAGCTCTTTCTGTCCCCATGGCTTTAAAAAAGCAATAAAACTACTGTCATCAAGTATATTCCAACTCATATAAATATTCCCAGGAACAGGCAACCTCATCTTTATCCCATGGAGCAGCTGATGGGTTTCAACCACTGACTTTGTGGTTAGCAATGCAACATCTCACTCAGCCCTCCTTAGAAAAGCAAAAGCCTTCTTGTGAGACTTGTCAGTCAGTTTGTCATGCTGTGGTGGCTTTGCTGTTGCTATGATGCTGGAAACGAAATCACCCCTCTTTCAAATACCAGCAAGGACGCTCAAAGTAAACAGGTTTCAATGGAACTTTGAGATGAAGAACAGACTGTAAAGAAGGGCAGGCTGTCCTGTTCGAAGTGATGAGCCACTAAAAGCCTTATAAGTCACCTGGAGCAGAGCCAGGCCCTGTCCTGGAAGATGAGGGCCTCCCAGCAAGAAGCATTCAAAACACAAGGGAGGAAGAGCTGCCTTCTTAAAGGACAGGGAACCATGCTGGCGTCCGTGGCTTGCTGCTCTGGCACCTCATACTTGGGAACGTCGAGCGGAGCAAAGAAGAGGAAGATACTCCACGAGATAGACCGGCCCAGCGGCTGCCAATGAACTCACACCTGTAACAATTGGGCAGACCTGCGTCGGGTCGCTTTCTCTCTTACCTAGGGGTCGCTGTGCGTGGGAAGCAGCTTGCCCGCACCTGACCACCACGTCAACGGGAAATGGTGCAGGAATCCAGAGCATCTCCCTCTGGCAGTGCGGAAGCACGGATTTCCGCTGAGCTTTCCTTATCTCGCTCCATTGATGCATTAGACCTCAGAAAGCGGCATGGGCGGGGTTTAGACTTCCACTGTTAGTCAGGTCTCTTAGAAATGTATCAGTCGTGTACCATTAAATAAACTCTGCCTAAAGAATTTCGTCATTGGTCCCTGAGAAATATTCTAAGCTCTTGCAAGTATTTGAATAACTGCGGTTCGTTGGTCATGGAAAGGCTTTTGCTAATTAGGTAGCACAGGTGGGGGCTGGGCAGGCCAGAAAGACTACTTTGCAGAATCAGTTGATCAAGGAAGGTGGACTGATTCAATCTAACATGACTGTAATGAAGTCCTGCTACAGGCCCTGGTCGTGGAAGCTCTATGAACTGAACTTCCTGGTTGGTGAAAGACATGGAGACACATGATCGGCCTTCATGTTTCCTTTTATGCCACTTAACTGCTTTGCAGGGGGAACCCTCCCAGACTTCACACTATGGGTCCCTTCAGTGGTGCGCTTTTTACTGCACTAAAACTGTAATCATAAATATAGCACTCGCTCTGAATTTTGTGAGTGGTTTTAGAAAATTTTCCAATAAAAGTGAGTCGTGAAAGTGAAAAATAAAGCTAAGCCAGGACCCTGGAGCTGATAGCTGGTATCCTGAGGGGGCCAAGGTAATCCCTGAATTTGTAGCTAGTAGGTCAGAAAGGAAGGCTAGCAATCCCCCAAGCTGTGGCTCCATCCTGCAGTGAAAGTGGGAAAATCCACGTTTCCAGTCGGCAGGCCCAAAGTGAGCGTGTCATGGCAACTCCCGCGCTTGAAGCAGGCATCAGAGGTGTGGTCCTGAGCCCTCTAATTTGTGAGTTCTAACCTGCCTCTAGAAGGCTGAAGGCATATGAAGAAGTGTGTGCGCGCCTGGTGTCAGGACACCTGCCTTTGAAAAGCTGGGCAGGGATTTGGTCTTGCGGCAGCAATTCCCTTGTGTTTTACTACGTACAACGCTTTTTGAAGCCAATGGAAAGACACTCTCCCTACAGAGCAACTGAAAATGTCCACTTTGATTCTTGCTGTTGTTGTTTTGTTAAACAGAATTGGAAATAGGAACATTTTATCTTTCCTAGAGCTGTGTTCCTGATGTGATAAACAAAGGCATGGCAGGAGTCATATTTCTGAAAATAGATATCCCCTCAAGTTCCTTTGCTGTACTTATAGTCAAGAGTGATCAAAAATATAAAATATTACACTTATTGGAAGAAAATAAATAAATCAGATACGCAAACTTTTCCTTCTAAAAAGCAGCAAACATATCCTTATTGTATTTTGTAAAGCAGATTCCACTTTATAAACGTGTATTTCCAAGCAAAATCTTTGTGTTGACATTAAGGCTTTGTAGGGATCCTTTTGACCGAAGTGACAAATTCAATGTCAATTCATTTTTGATATTCATATGACCTCCTCACTTCAGAACATGCTTTATGAAGGTCAAGGTTAATTGACACTTCAGAAATGACATAGACCCTTGGTCACAGTCAAGAGATATTCTTGTAAATGTCATCAGATCCATTATGGGAAATAAGACCTATTTATGACCTCACTCGTGGCATCTTCTTATATGGAGCTGTTCATATTTGTATATAAATGTAGTAAATTATAGCAGCTTTTCCTTAGGGTCACACTAACCAAGGATTGCCAAATACTAATACGGTCTTTGGAGTTGGGCCAAATGGCTGATTGCTGTACTTTAGATCTCTCCATAGCGAGCATTTCACGTGAGGACATAAAGCAACGTAAAATCTAACAGAAGAGAAATGCTTCAAAACGAAAACTAAGTAGTGTCATTCCACAGGACAAATCTCTTCGTGTATTAAAACACCTTTTGTTAGGTCAAGCCCAGGCTTCCTTCTGGGTTCTGTCTTTGGCCCATTAATTCCCATATTTCATCTCTACCGAACAACAATGCATTGAAAACAACCCACAATTTCCTGGGATCCCTACATAAAGTGAACATACACTTGACATTTCTAATGGGAAAAATGCTTTCTTGCTCCTAAGTAGAGAACAAAACGAAGTGTTAGGAGAAATCCATTATGCGTCTGTTTATTCTCTGATGAACCACAGATAGAAAGTATGCTCAACTGATCATTCGCACATGTATTCAAGTTCATTCTAACAGAACTCATGTTACTAGCCAAGAACTACCAAAGGTGAAAGTATCTGTTTTGTTGTTTATCACATGTGAAAATTACAGAAGTCTAATAGAGATGATCTTACAAAATAAAATAGTACTACACTTTAATATTGGTGGGGGTAAGATGCAATATAAACTTTGTTCCATATCTCAAGTAAGCCCAGAGGCAGGGAATTTAAAAACAAAGAGGCTTATCCTTAATATTTTTAATGTGCCAACGGCTATTGAGTTCAATTAGTTTCTACATGCCAACTCATGGAAATGGGTAATAGAGATATTTAACAGATGAATATTTATTTTTTCGCGTAGCTTATATATAATTTCTCCTTGAATAGTCTGGCTATATTTTCCTTAATGAACTTCTTTTTTTCTTAAATAATACAAGTGGCTACATTTATCAAACATAAGTTGAAGATACTCATATCCAACCTTGTACTGTTTCTATTTAACAGCAACAACAAGAATAAGAACACGATACTTTCAAGTAAGTACAGGATCTAACGTGCTTCTTTTAAAAAATCATCCTTTCTCCTGTATACTAAAGTATTCCTAAACATTTAAGGGGTTCTTTGTTAAATAAATTACTGTAAACAATAAATGTGTAATGTGTACTGCTTGACATTTTTCATCATTTAAGTTAAACATTTTTGTGCAGATAATTATAGAATTAGAGAATTTCCTAAAGTATATTCCATCTGGAATAATGAATAAAGTAGTCTTGTTTATGGGGGGAAATTTCCATGTTACTTCTGATAATCTATTCTAATTATAATATGATATGTTTAAAAATAAAGTTTCTGGACAATGACCCAAATCAAATGATGAACACCAAAGAGAAGTTGCCATAAAACAATATACCATTTCTTTGAGTCTTATTGAAAATATTAAATTGTTGACAAAATATCTGCTTTAAGACACCTTTGGTACAAACCTAATACATTAGTAGGAGGTTCAGAGAATTATGTCCTGTGATAGGCAGGATTATTGTGCCAACCTGGCCAATAAACACATGTGGGGTTAATAAGGTTGTAGTTTAATTGAAGGGCAAAGCCATAAATGGCTTGGCGAGCTTCGCCTTTCTGTCTCTTGCTCTCTGATGATCAGAACAGTGTGTGGCTCCCTTAGCTAGTTCTCTGCCTCAACTTGCGAGATACACTACCTGTGGGACATCCAACCTGTGGACTGTGATGCTATATTTTGAGCTTCCTTCAAGACATGCTTTGCCACACTGCTGGTGTATACATGACTTGAGCTGGGGACTGTTGGACCCTGTCATCTGGCTGACCATAGGTGACCTGCCCTGCTGTTTGCTGCCTGTGGCCGGACTGCCTGTATTACCCTACAGAAGACTCAGCTGTCTGCTTCTTTGACTTGCACACAGCAGCCCTCATGAGCTGAAGGACTGCCAGTGGATTAACTGTGTCATAGAAGTGAGTTGAACTGAGTCATCTGTACTGCTCTGCGGACTAATTAGCTGTTTATTTCTTACGTTGTATCTATCTATCTATATCAATATATCTAATCATAAGTGTCCTGGTTTTGTACCTTTAGAGAACCCTCTCTAACACAGTCCCAATTAAAAAAATCAAGAATAGGCCCCAAGAAAAATATTTATCATATGACCAAAATACCTCTTTTTATGTTTTAATCTAAAGGTACTAAAAAAAAAAAAGAATAAAAGCAAACGTCTAGAATCCCAAGAAAAGAGACTTGATATAAAAGACAATACCTTTTATTTCATGTTGACTTGCTTCCCGTCTTCTTTCCAGCTCTTTTCTGTCATAATTCAACCTCTTTAAACACATAATTCCATACTGTAAACTTGTTCTGTTATTTATTTTTTAAAGAAGAGGAACACACATTGAGTTTCTATCAGATAAAGCATGTTCATGATTAAGCATAGTCACACTACATGATACTTAATTAAGATAATAGGATAATAAATTATCTTTCTAAGTAAATCCTTTAATATTGGAAAGGTACCACAATGGAAATTATTGTTAGCACATGTCTCAGTATGACTGTAAAGGTTAGAGAAAATGTCTTCAGAATAAGGAGACACAGTCGGAAAAGAATCACAGGTTATTTTGTTCACCTCTGTGTTTTGCTGTCCATTATTTTTAGACTAATGATATTTTCCTTCAGAAAATGTAGACCCCTATCCATCAGTTGAGGGTCTTGAGACAACAGTGGTTAAAGTTTTCAGCTGCTAACCAAAAAATGGCAGTAATTAGAACCCATCAGTCACTTTGCAGGAGAACGAAGTGGCATGCTGTTTTGGTAACACTTTAACATGTTGGAAACCTTCCAGGGTCGTTAGGAGCTGGAATGGACTCTGCAACAGTGGGTTCGGCGTTTTGTCGGAAGGGCCATGAGATGAGATTGACTGGGCTGTAGGGTTAGTACACAGATAGCAAGTATTATGAATTGAACTCCATGTATCTCCAGAAGCTGTGTTCAATGTTCTATTTGCAGATTTTGTGTTTTGTTTTGTTACATGAATGTGTCAGTATTAGCGTAAGACATATCTTAAATCAATTTCTTATGTGAGATGCCACATTGGGGTCACAAGGAACAAGTAAACTTCCCCTGGAGAGCGCCTTCGTTGAATTTGTACTTCTAGAGGGCGTACCAGTAGGAAAATAAATTTCTGCATGCTAAATCCACACATTTGTGGTATTTCTATTATAGAACCAGTAGATAGCTAAGATGGGGAGGAACACAAGAACCAGATGTGCTCTTTTTTAATTGAGGAAAATCTCAATCTCTCTCAGTCTCACCATCTCTCACCGGACCTTAGTCCACTGAGTCGATGCCAACTCATATTGACCTTATAGGACAGGTTATAACTGCCCCTGTGGGTTTCTCAGACTGTAATCCTTTATGGGAGTACAAAGCACCATCTATATCCTGAGCAACTGCTGGTGGTTTTGAGCTAATGGTGGTTTTGAACTGCTGACTTTGCAGTTAGCAGTACAATGTGTACCCTCTACACCACCAGGGCAAACTCTCTCTCTCTCTCTCATACACATACAATCTTTTAACTCTATGTTTGTACCAATGTTTTGAAGCCCCCTCCTATGTATGTCAATTGAGTAATACACACACACACACACACACACACACACACACACACACACACACACCGTATATACTCAAGTATAAGCCGACCCAACTATCAGCTGAGGCACCTAATTTTACCACAATAACTGCATAAAACAATGTACTGAAGACCAGTAGTGAGAGTGGCGATATAGGAAGGGTGGAGGGAGGGTTAGGTGGAAAGGGGAAACCGATTACAAGGATCTACATATAACTTTCTCCCTGGGGGATGGACAACAGAAAAGTGGGGGAAGAGATACATTGGACAGTGTAAGATATGACAAAATAATAATTTATAAATTATCAAGGGTTCATGTGGGAGGGGGGGCTGGGGAAGGATGGGAAAAAATGAGGAGCTAATACCAAGGGATCAAGTAGACAGCAAATATTTTGAGAATGATGAGGGCAACAAATGTACAAATGTGCTTGACACAATGAATGTATGTATAGATTGTGATAAGAGTTGTACGAGCCCTTAATAAATGCTTTTTTTTGATGTGCTGAAAAACTCGGCTTATACACGAGTATATATGGTATATAGATATTGAACCAAATAACAAAATTTGCATAAACAACAACTCTGTGGTATTAACAAACAAAAACCTCGCTGCCATCAAGTTGATATCAACTCACAGCCTCGCAATAGGACAGAGTGGAACTGCCCCGTGGATATCCGAGGCTGTCAAGAGTTATTGGCACAGAAATCCTCCTTGTTTTCCTGTGAGTGGCTGGTGGCTTCGAACTACAGTCCATGCAGTTAACAGTCCAACTTGTAACCCACTGTGCCACCAAGGCTCCCCTAAGGTATAAAGCAAGATGTAAAAGGAACACCTCAGCAGACATCAAACTGGGTATGGGATGGGCATTATGGAAGAGCAGAGAACTGACCCTTAAAAGATCACGTAGCAGTGAAAGGAGCCTTACAGAAAAGAGCTCATGGTGAACAAAGTATCGCAGATAAAGTTTTAATGTGTGGTAGTAGTATTGAGAATCCGGTAGGAAGTGAGGAGATATATGATGATATGGATTTATGGAGAATGGACTTGCCTCCCTGGAAGCCCAGAATACATATGCTGACAACGTTGATATAACGAAACACAAGACTCTTTTTTGGTGTAAGAAACATTAATATAATAGCAAACTAGAATACTGAAGACCCAGGGAATCTTAGGGATGAGGAAATTAATTAAGGGTTAAAAAAAGCCAAAAGAAGAGTTTCAGGACAAGAGTGATGAGCACAGGGCAGAAATCCAGATGAAGGGAGAGACCCGCTATCGTAGACAGGACCAGGGCGGCAGAAAAGAAGTCCTAGGTGTCAAGCGTTTCTCATGTCTATTGGAATGTACATGATATTATAATACACAGAAACCAGGCAACGCCTTCAGGTTGGATGAATTTTTAAGGCCTAATTTTAATAAGGACAATGTTGAGCTCCAACATTTCAGAATTAAAGATAAAAGGGAAGAGACCTTCAATGAATAGGATAACCTATTAGATAATATTGATAATGTCCATCATACTAAACAACCTAAGGATAAACTAGCTACTCAGGTTAGTTTTGGCCGAATTTTTACTAATATGAAATACATAATTTTGCTTAAAAGAGAATATTTATTAATATGATACTATCTGTTAAGAGGGAAAACTGGATTGAAAGCATGATGGAATGTTGATTTTAATCAGAGCTAAATGTAACATGAAATTTAATATCAAACAAACAAGAACCCTATCATATCACTATTATTGAACGGAACAACAATTAAGAAGGGAGTAACACTTTGCATCATTCTTAATTGCCTGTAATGTTCCCATTGTGAGGTAGACTTCCTCGTCACTAATGTTTAGGATTGTGGTTCTCAATTTTTCTTTATGGATACATTAGACTGTGAGTAGTAGAATCTGTTGACAGGATATGTGTGTTCAGTTTTCCTGTTCTTTACTAGATCAATTTTAACACTGCTATTATTTGAATAGAAATTTATGATTACAATGAACAAGTTTCGTTTTGTTGTTTCTTTCATCCCTAAAATTTCCTGGGTCTTCAGTATTCTATTTTGCTATTATATTAATGTTTCTTACACCATAAAAGAGTCTTGTGTTTCATTACATCAACGCTGTCAGTGTATGTATTCTGGGCTATCTGTAGCTGTTGTTATGTTTGAGCAAAAGGTTTTTCATTTCTTGAATTATTAAACTAATAACTCAACAATGATTTTATCTATATATCTCTTGAAATTTAATGTTCATAAATAAATGCATGTGATCTCACCATAGAGTAAGATTTTATTGTCCCTGTCAACAACATAAATATGTCTTGTCAAGCCATTAACCAAGATAGAGCACTTTATGCCAATTATAAGTCTCATATTTTTATATAACTGCTATTATGTCACAGATTTTCCACCTAATATCTTGATAACTTATATTGATATTATGATTATTTTCAAGAAATTTAATCTGGTGATGTTAATAACTTTGAAACTCAAAATATCTCAGTACATTGGAATAAATAGTCTTTTATCTCTTTATTCTAATTTTTCATAAATATATTTTATTACTATATCATTCTCTTCACAATCACTGAGTAAATGTTGTCCAGGACTGAATCAAACACAGCATCTCATGATGAAATAATCTAGGTTGATCTTATTAATTTATCATCCTCATCACCTACATATAAAACAAACTATCACAATTCAATAGACTTTTGTTTTCATAGGTTAAAGGGTGGTCAAGTTATAATTACAGCAGTTATAATATGGTATTGTAACATGCCTTGTTTAACTTAGTAGTTGGTAACACCTCTAGAAACAAGGCTGTATTTTATTCTTCTAAATCCTCACAGTACCTAAAAGCACATTGAATATTTTTTCAAGATGAGGACATAAATAAGGAAAAGGATGAAAACATTGATGTGAAAATAAACAGCACAATATGAGCCCCTAATAAAATTATTTTTTTTAAAAAGAAAGAAAATAAACAGCACAAATACACCCTTCAGAAAATAACTAATTCTCACTATGTTCCATTTACCTAAGTTACATCTATTTATAAGTTCATTTATTGTGGGCTTCATTTTAATCTTAAAATGTTCTAGTATAAACAAATATATATCTATAAAATGATAAATATGGCAATGCTTAAGATAATACAAGGAAAGACTTATAATCGCTGAGGAGGATCTTGCTCATGTATTATTCCTTGGACACGTACTATGTACATGGTTTTACAGTACAGAAACACCAAACTACCAATCCCACTGCCTTTGAATTGCTTTCCACTCACAGCAAACCTACAGGACGGGTTGGATTCCTCATTTTGCTTCTGGAACTGTGAGTCTTTGGGAGCATGACCATTTCACCTTTCTCCTGCAGAGTGGTGCGAACTTTGTCGAGCACTTAACCAGCATTCTGCTACATTCATGCGGCTGAAAATATTCTCCAAATAGATGTTCCCTGATGTTTTGTATAGAATATATTTTCTATTGTCTAACCATCTCTGTATATGCATACTTTTTCATTTCAGTAAATACATATTTTCATTTTTGTTTCACTTTGATTATTATTTTAAATGCACCTACCGGTGGAAACTATCCACCATTTTTAAATGGACACGGAGATCTTTTTTTGTTAGATGGTCTAACATTCTTGCATCTACCAAGCACTCCATAAAATAACTTCTGTATTGAGGTAGCCCCAGGCTGGGAAGCCATTCATTTCCAATCCACTCGTGGTTCATATCTCCATAAGCCAGCGTCTGTAGAAAAACCGGACACTAGAATTGTTTTATAGCAGTCAAGTCTCTTAACCAATCAGATGAGATGGTAATTGGAGGATGTTACTGATTATTAGGACATACCATACCTAATTAATATGACTAATATCTTGTTTGTGAACAAGGTAGAAATAATATCTCACCAAGAAGTATTTGATTTACTTTAGTAGAAAATGGGATTGTGGGCAGATTTTTAAGGTTTGTTGCCCATATAAAATTACTGTGCCTATTCCAGATTCTCAAAAGCAATTACATCTTATTCAAACATGTACTTTGATAAGAAGGGAATTAACATTATTGTTATAATGTATATTCTAAATTTTTAGATTTTTATGTTGATAGGTTTACTTTCTTTTTGTCTTATTTATATTTCATGATTGTTCTTGTTCAACTTGTCAGCTAGGACTCAAAAGTTCCCCATTTTCAGTGTCGCTATTGCCATTACTATAGTACAAACCTCAAACCTCAGCGTCAAATAGAAACCACACTATAGTACAAACGTGTGTCAAAGTACCAAGTACAAACCTTAGTGCCAAAGAGAAAGAGGACAAAATGTGGAAATTTAATAACATATTTGCTACTTCAAGCATGCGGTAAGAATTTAATAAATATCAGTAGAAATCAATCACATAGATTCTGTATTTTAATAAGATGGGAATAATAAAAATAGAATGCAGGCATTATTTTTTAACTTAAGCAATTTGAACTATTCTTACAGTTAAAATTAAAGCCATTGTAAGCCTCACTGCCAAGCCATTTTTGCTCTCTAGAAATGTTAGTATTTCCTATTGACTTCCTTATCTATAATTTTGACTATAAGTGTCCCTCATTTTGTGGCAAATTCTAAAGAATGATGAAAGTCTTACAAAGATCAAAATCCAATACAATCCTACTTTACTAAGTAGTTAAACATAGGGCATTGTACCTCCCTCCCTCACTACCATTGAGTTGATTCTGACCCCTAGCCACCCTATAGGACAGGGTTGAACTGCCCCTGTGCGTTTCTGAAATGTCATTCTCTGGGGCAGTTGAAAGCCTCATCTTTCTCCCAAGTAGCAGCTGGTGATTTTAAAAGACAACATGTAACTCACTATGTAATCAAAGGTTATATTCAGGTCAAATACTAACATTTACTTTTAGCCACATGTATTTATCATATCAAATATCCAAAAGGTAGAAATATTGAAAAATACACAGCTTCCTTGTAATCTTCTATGATTGCTCTAAATACAGGCACTTCTCTTAAATAAATGGGAGTGATTTCTGACTAGCAATCCACAAAAATAATATAACCCCTCCGGCTCCAATCTTGAAAATATTTCCATTATATCTTCAAGCATCACACACATAATTAATTACTTCCTAATTAAACACACCAAACATGTTTTAGAGAAATTTAAGTCCCACATCACTTCCTGTGATTAAATTCCTAGAAGAATTACTCTTTTAGGACAGGCCATACAATGGACTGTCAACTTCTTTGTAAAACATTATAATTTTAAAGTACATAAATGACAGTAAATATCAAATGTACTTAAATGTATATTGATTTATTCATTGGCTAAGTGAGATTTATAAGATATGAAGATTGTTGCCCTCCACCTGCTCCTAGCCTACCAGGTGACATGAATTGCTGTAAAGCACATGGATTTCCTACCTGGGCCCAGCTTCCTTCCTCAGATTCCTTCTGTGTTAGCAGCAGGGAATCATTAATAAAGCAGGTAAAGATAAATTAATGTCAAATAAATAGAGTGAAATTTTTGTCAGAAGCAAAATTGTTTGTTAACGAAAGCATGCATTGATATGACATACACAAATCAATAAGTATACAGATTTTTAGACAGATCCATGCAAATTAATTCAGAAATTCTAGGAAAATTGCATAAGTTTCCATTCATATTATCTTAAACACACACACATATGTAACAAGAGATTCGTGATTATGTAGAAACTTGATCCCATCCTTTTAAATGTTTTCTAGTTTTTAAAAGTGTATAAGTCCCCAAATGTAAAGAACTACAGAAAAAGTTTCTAATTTATATATACACAGAAATACACACACAACACATATATGATGGAGAAAGTATACAGTAAGTAAATTTTAAAAAATTAAAAAATAATAGTTTCCATTTAAAATAACTTTCTGGTAATCAAATAGATTTCTATACCAGCCATTGGAAGAAATAAACAAGACCTATGTTTCCAAAATTAAATGAATAGCATGTCAACTTTGTTACTTTATATGAAAAAATGACTATATATATCATATTTTAAAAATCAAACAATTATAATCGGAGTCACAAGGCAGTGGTTTGTATATTGGAAATCTCTAATTATAATTAATTTGACTTAAAAAATTTTAATTTTACATAAGCCAGAAAATATTGATATGGTCAAGCACAAAAAAACAGATTATTCTATTAAAGGTAAGCCTTAAATATACATTATTCTAAATTAATTGGGTTTAATAATATGTGTTACCTGTGAATATGCCAATGTTAAATAGTAAATAATATCAAATATTTAAAATGTTGCAAAATTCGCTACTCAGGTTTTCATTTCTTGATTATTATTTGACGTTATATAAACTCTTTTTATATTTAGACTAACTAGCACTTCTTCCTTAAAGCAATGTCAAGTAGAGTGAAACAAAACTGTAATGGGACGTGTTAAAGACCATTGCCTGTGGTGAACTAAACATGCCCCATTAGGCTGGTCTGCAGTAAACAACCAAGTTTCCCAACCAAATGGAAAAGGATAGCGTTTTGGGTTTTTTTGGTGAAAGTTTAAGAGAGCAGTAATGACTAACCGTTTTTGCTGGAGCTGCAAGATTTTCCATTTCTTCATGGGTCACCCAGACATTGCCAGAAGGCTGAGGAAGCGGCCCAGAGGGAAGTGTGGAGTCCACGGGCGGAAGCAGTGGTAAAGAAGAAAGGCAGCACCGTGGTCAGTTCCCAGCATCCCCTCAAACACAATGATCGTGTCTCTACAGCATGCACAAGAGAGACCACATTGCTGCTTTGTTTGCTCATAGCCCCCTTCTTGCTTTGTAACTCAAAGAAGCTTAAATAGAACCCATGTGCTGTGACGCTCATGTGGGGTAGATTTAAAATATTTATATTGTTATTAATCAAGAAAAGGCATGATCAAAATTTGCGTTTCAAAGCTGCAGATCCGTAATAAGGAAGAATTAATGTAATATGATGTGTAGAAGAACCTGTTTGTCTATTTTATTCAGCTGGAAATATGGGATATGTACTTCATAGTGTTACAACCAGCATTTCAATCACATAATGATTTGGCATCTTGGAAAAAGAAAACCAATTGTCAATACATAGCTCCACGCACTAACTCAACCTCTCTAAAAATCAATTATGAATGTTTTCCAAATGATTATTTCCTTTTGCAATTCAGCAAACATGCTGTTTTTCTTTATTCCCTATAAAGGAAAAAGAGGGGAAAACAAGTTATTTTTATTTGGTAATATTTATTTTTCAGCTTCACTGAAAACTCTCAGACCCAACAGATAATGCATTCCCTAATTTTCAGCTGCATCCATAACAACAATAGTTTAATCCATATGCTTAGAAAATCTCTGAAAAACTGAACTCTATGAAGAATAAAGATGTGTGAGTATTGGAGGAAGATTCAACAACCAATGATATCACGTGACACACATTTGTTTGGTGAGAGTAAAGATTTAAGAATTTATAGATGAAGATCAAATATTGCAGCCTCTCTTATGGGTTGCAACTCAACATTAAGGAAAGAAAGCTCTTCACTACTGGACTAACAAGCATTGTGACAAATGGGGACAGTTTGAAGTCATCAAATATTTCATTTTACTGGGATCTGCAGTCAACACACTTGAGCACAACAGTCAAGAAACCAAACAATGTGTTTCATTGGACAAATCTGCTGCAAAAGAGCTCTTATGATGTTAAATACCTAAAGATCTCACTTGGCTGATGGAGGCGACCCCAGTCATAGCATTTGCAATGACCTCATATGCATGGAAAAGCTGGGCAATCATCAAGATTTAAGAGGAATTAATGTATTTAATTATGGTATTGATGAAGAATATTGCATACACTATGGATTAGCAGAAAAACAAATTAGTGTTGCAAGAAATACCATCGGATGATCCCTTGTAGCAAGAATGGCAACATTTTTGTCTCAAATATTTTGGACATGCTATCATGGAGGACCCTCTCTGGAGAAATGTATCATGCTTGGTCAAGTAGAAGGTCAGTAAAGAAGTGGAGGTCCCTCAATGAGATGGACCGAGACAGTGGCTGCCATAGTGGGCTCAGGCATCGGAACATTGTTGGCATGACTCAGGACCAGGCCATTGTGTTCTGCTACACACAGGAACATTGGTCTGCTGCACACAGGGGCACATTGAGTTGGAACCGATTTAATAGACTCTAATAATAATAAAAACAGATTTTTCAGAGAATAATAGGATGTCAACACATGCTTTCTTAAGCATAGACTATTCGGTGATGCAGTCTCACTTGAATTCTAGTAAATAAAAAATTGACATCTGTTCTGTTATGCACAATTTCTAAACCAAAATCCAGTTAGTCTCATACAGATTAGGCATATCATTGAAGGGAATGACCACTGAAAACCCCTTCTCAATAAAAATCTACCATTTTACTGATGATTATAGATTTTGAGCACTGACAGCACATTAACCCAAGCCTTACACTGGCCTTTCTTCCTACGTACTGCTCATTACTTCCTGTGCCACCAGGGCTCCTGAATCTCTTTCACAAGTTATCCTCAATCATGTTCGCCCCTCATTACTGAGTTGACTCTGACAATCTGCCCACCCCCTGTGTGACAGAGTCTAACTGTGTTTCACTGGGTTTTCAAAGACTGATTTTTTGGAACTAGCTTTCCAGGTTTTTCTTTGGAGGCAATTTTGGGTGGACTTACACCTCCAATCTTTCACGGTGCAACTGAGCATATCACCACCCTGAGATTTGCATTCATCTTAGATTTGGGTATATTTTTCTCATTAACATAAGAGAAACATTTCTCATTACAATATGATGGTTTATCTAAATGAGGCTTCTAAGATTAGTTATCATGAAAAGAAGAATCAAAATGGATTGAGTAAAATAATCTGAGAGAAGGAAATAAAAAGTGGAGTACAGGAAGCATGAACTTGATGCTGCCAGAAATGTACTTGTAAAAAAAAAAAGAAAAAAAGAAATGTACTTGTAAAGAGCACACGTGTGAGGTAAAAGCACACAAAAAAGTGACAGTAGAGAAGTCATTTAGCCTCTTTATATATCAGTTTTCCCTGTGTGTAAAACATGCATATATAGTGTCTATATTATAGTAAGACTGAAATGAGGATGCACTTAAAACACTGAGAACTGTAAAATACTTAGAACAGTAGCTAGTAAGCACTAAAATATGTTGGATAATTATATATCAGTTGCAACTCTGTGAACCAAGCTCCACTTAACCCATGGTTGTTTGGAAGCACTGGTGGCATACTGGCTATGCATTGGGCTATGGACTCTTATAGTTTGAAGGTTGACAGGTCAAAACTCCCAGCTGCTCTGTAGGAGAATGATGGATTTACAGTCTCAGAAATTCACAGAGGCAGCTCTACTCTGTCCTATAGGTTGCTATTAAGTCGCCATTGATTTGATGACAGTGAGTGTTTTTATTGATTGATTGATTTTTAAGTTTGGAGTTGGAGTTATCTATAGGTTTGCTAACAGCAAGACCTGGCTAAACACAAGGCCAGCAGTTTGAAAACACCCATCGCTCAGCAGGAGAAAAACGAGGCTTTCCATTCTTGTAGAGTCTGAGAAAACCCACCTGGACAGTTCTTCCCCACCCCCACCCCCCCTTTAGGGTCATTGTGACTCAGAACGGACTTGATGGCAGTGAGTGTGATTTGGGTTTTCTTTCTCTTGTACAACACACTGAGTGATGCCGCTTCTGTTGCTCAAGCTAGTGCGATTGTATGGCTACCAACCATACTTTGTACTTCTTTCCAAGTTTATTTCCACTGTCCTTTTTTGGGAGGTAAGCAATTCAAATATATTTTAAAGTAAATATTAAAGAAAGCTTGATCTTTTGTGAACTCTAAGTTGAATATTGTGGAACACTAGATAAAGGTAAACCATGAAACATAATATCACGGAAACAAAACTTTATCAAAGTCTGAAGAGGAAACGATAAGAAACAATGTTTACCCAGTTAAAGGGAGAGAGAAGAAAACAGCCTGGGCTATCTCATTGGCAACGTGAGTGAATGAAGAAGACATAGTACATTACTAAGGAAGACAAAGTTGGGCATTAATTAACAAAAACATACCAAACATCCTTGAATAATCTGAGTTAATTAACACATTCTCAGAAACACAGTAGCATTTCTTGAAGGGAAAAAAGACAAACCTAAACTTGTCTCTTCAGTGTGTGAGTTCTAACATACTTGTAAGGTCATTATAATATTAAATAATGAATGATGAGCTTAAATATTCACATCTTTATTTTATGTAGTCACTTTATTATCAGAAATGTATATGTAAATTTCATTACAGATTAAATAATGTAATATATAAATATATAAGAGAAGATTAAATGTTTTCATATGATGAGGTTGAATTATGGTACAAAGAGCATTCAGCATGTAGGCATAATTCAAGGTTTCCCTTATATAACTTGCACCAGCCTTTGTATAATATCTGGCAGAGTTTATATAACTTTTTAGATTAAAAATGTTTACCTAGTAGTAAAAATATAAATATTCCTCTGATCTTTAAAATGAGAAGTCTAGAATTATAATGAATAAAGAAATGAAAAGGTTATGCATATATAATTCATAGAAATAGCAATTCATTGCCTAACATATTATGCAATTTTAACCTTTTAGTAATTTTCAAAATGAAAATAAGGTACAAATATGGGTAAAGGAGGGGAAATGCTATTGGTTTCTTGTCAGCATATATCAAAGGAAATACCTAAAATAATACCAGTAATAAAGTTTGATGTTTTTTGATTAACTTTTAATTATGCTACATTAAAAAATCTGGAAAATAACTATCAAAATACTAAAAGTAAATAGTTCATAGTAATTATTTCTATAATCAGTGTTATTTTTTCTATCTTTTACATAGATTATATGTTAATCTTATAAAAAATAAAACAGCTTTATAATATTAACAGTATTTTAGCTATCTTTTCAATGCTAATTCCTTTTTGAGTCTTTATTCAGTAGAAAGGACTGAAAGCAGAATACTTAGAATCTGGCATCTGTGAAAATAATGTAAAAAAACACAGCATAAACAGCACTTAGATCAGAAAGGTTCTCTTCAGTGATCTTCACATCTGCCTTTGAATTAGGGAATTACATATACTCTTATTTTTAATATCCTCTTATTCAAATTCCTTTGTTTTGCTCAAGCATGTTTGGGAAAATTATAATTAATTACTCTATTTTTTATGATAAATGGATTCGGTTTTTAAATAAAAATGACAAGCCTATTCTATTTTTGAAGTCGGCACTTTGAAGGCTCTATTTTTGCAACCCTCTCTCACTGCCCTTGAGTTGGTTCTGACCGATGACACCTCGCAGAGCGTGGACTGGCTCGTGTGGGCTTCAGGCCGCAGCTCTAGAAGGGAGTAGAAAGCCTCATCTTTCTCCCCATGAGCGGCTGATGGTTTCAAACTGCTGAGCTTATTGCTTCACGATTCAAGCTTAGCTCACTATGCACCGGCTTCGTTTTGTAAAAATAGGAGTTTTCAAAAAAAATTTTTGCATCTGATTTTAATTTAGGATATTAATATCTGAGTCTCTTCTACTTAAGGTCTTCTTCTCTTAAACTGCAACCCCTCCCCCAAAATAGTGCCTGGGTGGTACTATAAACACAGCGGGCATGCAACCAGAACAGAAGGGACTGGTCAGTTTTTGTAACCATCCCTGTCTACAAGGATGAGAAGACATCTCTGAAACAGTAACCGAGAGAAAAAGCCCAGGGGTGGGGGCTGAGAGGCGCGCACTAGAATCTGTAGCATGGAAACTATGGGACAGCGCAGCAGAAACAGTGCCAAGACGACGGGACTATGAGGCAGAGGACACAGGACCACTAGCCCAAGAGGCTGAGACCAGAGACTCTGTTGCTGGTAGAGAAGGGGTGTTGCCGTGGACTAATGATCGTATCTTTACTGTCGACGATAACTCACCTATTCACTTCCCTATTAAGCCCTCATAATCATGAATATTGCCTGTGAGCTCGGTGTGGCCACTGCAATGCATTTTTGAACCAAGCAAAGAAATGTTTTGCTGTGGGAGAAACAGTTGGTGTCAGAGTAGTGAAGGAAGGATGGGCCGTGCAGGCTTACCCGCCCCTTGCCTCTTGACAAAAAGGAAACTAGAGGAGCTCTGATATGGCCCCAACTACACACCATTTACTGCGATCAGAAAGAGCAGAAAGGATCCTTGGGGTTTGTGTGACTCTAAATCTTTACGGGAGCAGACTATCTCCCCTTCCTTCTTTGGAGAGGTTAGTGGGTTTGAACTGCTGACCTCATGGTTAGTACCCACTTATGAAAGGATTGGAGACTTGCAAATGAAAAGCAAACTGATTTTGAAGGAAGGTATTTCACTTGGTGTTTACAGAACATCAACCCTCAGTGTAATTTTATAATATGGAGAGAGATTAAAAAAGTGAGGTAAACACAGAATCTGCAGAAAATACTGATGCATACATTTAATGTCCATAGATACTATCGAATTACTTTTTTCTCGTTAGTGTTGTTTATAACAACATCCTTAAAAAATAGAGTGAGACATAGGACTTGCAAATTTGGAGATAGATGTACTAAATTTTAGTCTAGAAACTTCCCCCAGTTTCTTACTTCTGATTTTCTATTTTAAAAAACTATAATTATGCAGAAGATAACCTTCAAGTGTGATTGGAAACACATCTCATGGCATAAAACCCATTAAAAGTAGCGGCTAGGTTAATGAAGAGCCTGCTAAATTCCTTCAGAGTCGTTCACGCTGGCACGGGACGCGTGCGCTGCTGCCCTGGCCTCCCTCTGCGGATGGCGGGGTGCCCTGGACCGGACGCAGAGCAGAAACGGACTCACTGTTCGGGACGTCGGAGGCGCCGAGGGGCTTGTCAGGGAAACCATCTCCTGGATGGCGAGTCGGAGCTTCAGGCGGTGCAGCGGGTTGCTGATTCCGATTTCTCGTTGTATCTCGGTGTCTGATAACGCAGACATGATGGCCCCGCTCTTCACGTTGGCTCGGCAGGCGGCCACGTACCAAGCCGGCATTCCTAACCAGAGCTGTGAGGGGCGAAACATGCACGTAGATTACCATGTGACATGCTAGTGTCTATCAGAGTCAAGAGCTTATTCTGTTTTGCATGCATGACCACATCCAATGCCCGTAAATCCAAGAGTAAGTGCCATTATTAGTTCTTTCAGAGGAAATAGATGAACCGATACACTAAGTAAATTGCTTTGAATTATCAGTTAGGAAATCATGTAACCAAGATTTTATTCCAGGCATCTGACTCCAGTCTATTTTCTATCTCAAACACAAGCTTCTTGTGTTTAAGGTCCTAAAGAATAGCCACCATTTATTTGCACTTGGTAAGGAACTCAATCAAAGCTTGTGTGAGGGATTTGAACTTCATAAATGTCCTTTGACATTCTGAATGCTGGAATTTTTTTCATAGAAAGAGACAGCTCGATCACTTTCCAGCCACGTGGTTTTGGTCAAGGCAAACATACCCTGTTCCCCCGAAAAGAAGACAGTGTCATATATTATTTTTTGCTCCCAAAGATGTGCTAGGTCTTATTTTCAGGGGACATCTTATTTTTCCATGAAGAAGAATATGGTGCACATTTATTGTTTATTGTTTTATTATTTTATTAAAAGAGACCTCCCACTTCCTGTCTGCTCTGGCTGCACTGCAGCCAGCAGTGAGCTGTGCAGCTGCGCCCACCGCTACTGTCCAGAGTTACGGTAGCTTTGGGGATGCCTTATATTTCAGTGAGAGGCAAAACTGTAAGTAGGTCTTATTTTCAGGGGATGTCTTACTTTCAGGGAAACAGGGTGGCTAGTACTTATTTCCCACCTTTCTCTCCTAGCTACATCATGTAACAAATGTGTGGATCAACTTATATGAAATTCATGAAAATAGATTTTGGAGCATCAAATCAAATATGATGGAAAAGGCTAAAGCTATAAGCATCGGGGAAAGTTCCTGGCATACAGATGATAAAGATAACTCTTTTTTGTATGAATGAGTTACTTAAACATTCAACAACTTTGGTTTGTTTTTTTTTAACTTAGCATCCCTTTATTATTTTTTTCTGTTTTTTATAATCGTTTTATTAGGGGCTCATACAATTCTTATTCCTTTATTGTTATTATTAGGAAATAAACAGGAGTGCAGTCTGTATTTACTTTCTGGAAATACAGTAAAAAACAGTAAGTTCTGTAAAAAACAGTCTGTATTTACAGTCTGTAGCTACTTTGAGTTACCGAGTCAGTTCTGACCCATGACTACTCCTCAACAACTTTTTATTTTAAATAAATGCCAACTGATCAGTGTTCTAAATGTTTTTCATTTAGTTAGCAACTATTTATTAGCACTTACTTTATATCACATGTTAATTTAGTAATAGCAATGTCAGAGAAAACAAATCAGACACAAAACGATTCTCTCGTAGAAGTCATATTTTACTGTGACTCATTTTCAAGTGACTCGGGTAATAGTAGAAGGAAGGAGTGCCACCATCTGATCCTTTCTGAAGCCAACATATTGAATTGCATGATCACTGCACTCTAGTTGATATCAACTCATACATATGCGCATAACGACATCCGTTTTGCCCTTCAAGACACAAGTACATTCATCCAACTCTCCACTCATGAATCCAAGCATCTGTCCATCCTGTAATGATATACTGCACCTTTTATAAAAAGAAATGAACTTAATGTACAAATCCTGGAAGAGCTAGATTAGTAGAACTGACAGAACCTCAAAATGGATTGAAGAATTATGAGAATAAAATTTTAAAATGTTTGAATGCATTATAAATTAGGAAAACAGATTTTATTTCCATTTGTATGTGAGGCTCTGACAAGGCGAGCAGATCAGCAGGGTGATGAGCACAGTATTGTCTGTCTGGAAAACTTAAGCACTGTGGGAATGTGAACTTGTGTTCATTAGGCTACGGCCTGTGAAGTGCGTGCACCTAAACAAGGAAGAGGTTCCTGTCTTTCCCCTCATCTTTACCTGTAAGGAGAAAGCAAGAGATTTGAAAGAGAGGAGTTTAATTCTGGGGTTTAAATGTCCAACAAGCTGGTGTTTATTTTATATTTCCTGGCATGAACATATTGAGCAGGGGAGATGAACAAAGGAATGAAAAAGAGAGAGAGAAGGAGATAAAGAAGGAAAACTATGAAGGGAGCAAAATGCAATGCCAACAGTCAGAACACTGGGGTGCTCCTCCAGGAGCCCCAGTGGCACATTAGGATGAGCACTGGGCTACTCACCATCCACTTAGTGGTTGGAACTCACCAGCCACTTCCCAGGCTATCTGCTTCTGGAAGGATTTACAGGCTTGGAAACATCAAGGATCAGTTCTACTGTCCTACAGGTCTTCTATGAATTGCAATTGATGTAATGGGGCAGATTGAATTTTAATTCATCCCTTTCATTGGTGTCATATAACATCTGTAAAACCCAGTCTTATTTTTTTTTCTTTTTAAAAGTGAAGGAAGTAAGCTTTGTCATTTATAAGATATTGTGTGAGGGAACTTAAAAATGCTACCCTATAATGATCTCTACCCCCTAGTACGCACACCCTTGTGTGAGCCTCTGTCTTTGAGTTTAGGCTGGACCTAGTGACTCATTTGCAAAGAATGTAAAGTGTAAAATTATAAAGCAGTGGGATGTCATGTTCCAATCTTGGGAGTAGATTGTACTTGTCCTCCCCCATGCTCTTCTCTTTAAGATCTTACTTGGAAGAAAGCAAGGTACCAGGTTGAGAGTCGAATTATCGATGTGGCTCTGATGTTTCTGGCTAATAGCTGAAGAGTAACCAAATTTGCACTAGCACCATATGAGTAAGCTTAGAAGTGGGTCCTGCCAAAATGGACCCTTGGGATGACTGCAGCTGCAGGGAAGCATTCCTTCAGTGCAGTGCTGTGAGAGGCCCTGAGAAAAAGCTATCGCTCAGCCTGGCCCAGATTCCTGGCACACAGAAACTGTGGGATAATAATGTTAGCTGTGCATAACTATGTTTCATGTTAATTGTTAATAAGATACAGATAATTAATGGAGACGATTTTTTAAATTTAAAAATTCTACTGTATTTGATTGCAAGGACGGTGCAGGACCGGGTAATGTTTTGTTGTGTTGTGCATAGGGTTGCTATGGGTTGGAACCGAGTCAATGGCCCCTAACAATAACAACAGCGACAATTTGTTTCTACAGCAGAGAACTGAAACTAAAAGCCCCATCATCATGCAAGTGTGATCGGGTTGTGACTGAGATAGGAGAAAGCGGGGGTGGGGGGGTGGATATAAGAACAGTGAACCATTGCGCAGTTTCTACTTTCAGCAAGCATGGAAGTGACTTTACGGTGACAAGTAGGAAGGTAGAATTTGACTTCTTATTTTATAAACACAAATTGTAATTAAAAAGCATCTAAATGTACCTTCATGGGTCCTAATCATGCCACGCCCTTCTTTACTAAGACCTTGGGATTCCCTCATTGCCCTAAAGTTGTCAATACATTCACCTTCCTCCTTAGCCTTTAACGAGCGTTTTCTAGGAACAAATGGTCTGTAAAGCAACAGACGCCCTTCCACGCATCCTTCTCCACAGTCTGTGCACGCGAGTAGGTGAAGCTCTTTCACTGTATAACCCTGCGCATTCCTCTTGTTTATTCTATGAAACAATTTGAGTCACATTAGGAAGCACATCATGAGAAATCTCTGTGTGCTCAGGATAGGTTTAATTAGCACACACTTCACTGCTTGTCAGTTCCCAGCCTTTTAATGTCAGTGAATCCGTTTTCCTGTATAAGGGAATTGTTCATTACTTGCCAAAATTCCAGCAAACTATGTGTCAAATTGCAGGTCATATTATCAGTGTGAAAAATGAACAAAGAACTGCTGTCATTTTTCGGGTGTGTAGTCTTTTCTTTTAGCTTTTTAAATTGTCAACTGAGTGAAGGTTTACAGATCTTTTTTTCATTTAACAATACATATTTTGTTTCATGTCATTAATTGCAATCCTCACAATGTAACATCACTTAATCTATTTCCTCCTTGTCTTTCCTATTTCCATTCTTTATCTCTTCTTAACCCTTATGAACTCTGCCTTTGGGTAAATACTACCCAATTGATCTCAAAAGGTTGATTGTTCTAAACTGTGCACGATGTCCTAGTGTTATTGATCCTCTTATAGACGTCTCTATTGTTCATCTCAATTTGAGCTTCTCGGTGAGTGCACGTCAAGACCTACATGGCCAGAGTCTAGGGAGTTTCACTAGTCTCTGTCCAATCAGGAAGCTAGGTATTTTTTTTAATGAGTTCATCTTTTACACATATGTTTCTCCCACCCTATCCAGGGTCTTCTGATGTGACTCCTTTCAGATTAGTTAGTAGTGACAACCATCTAGTTCTTCTGATCACAGGGTCATGGAAATGGATGTTCACATAGTCCGTTGGATGAATGGTTGTCATGTATTTCTGAGTTTTTTTCACTCTTTTTACAGACATGCTGAATTAGGCATTAACTCTTCTCTAGAGACTGCTGATTAAAAGGGACCCTAGCTCATGGACGGGAAGAGATGTGCTGTTCCGTCAAATTGGGACTCAGAGATTGTTTCTCCTCCTTCGGTAGTTGTGCAGAAATTAGGACTTAAAGAAATTTCTTCTTGTCCCACTGTGTACTTCCTTTTGATTTTTTGCTTTATATTCACAAGAAGTGTCAGAGCAGAATCCCGATGACGCGTAGAGGGTCCCACTGCTCTTGCTGGGTGCCGTGGGGTTGGTCGGACTCAGAGACCTTACAGACAACAGAATGGTCCACCACCCAGGCCTACACATTTCCCACCATGGGTGCAATGTTTCCGCCCATTGCGGTAACACCGCATCCATCCGTCTCAAGAGTCCCTAGATAAAGTGTGGGCCCCTAGATAAAGCGTGGGCCCTAGATAAAGTGTGGCCCCTACATAAAATGTGGGCCCCTAGATAAAGTGACTATTCCTTTTAGATGTCTTTCTAGGGAAACTGTGCCATGAAGGACCCATCCCTGTCCCTAAAAATTGTGAGATGAATTGTGAGTGATTTAAGAGCTCTCTAGTGATTAAAACGTGTCTTACCTCTAGCCAGGCCACCACAGTGGGCCCATCCCACTGGGCAAAAGGCAATCCCTTTCTCCGGGCTTCTTCTAGAAGTTCATGCCTGAAGCATATAATACAGCTTATTAGTCAAGCAATATGAAAAATATGGCTGTGATGATCATCTTTCATGGCAATATTAAAATGAAATAATCCTTGGCATAGCCTTGATGAGATAATACAGAATAAGAGAATTCCTTTTTCCTTGAGCAATATAAGCAAATCACCCATTGATTTTATTAGGAATAAAGCATTGACATCTGAAAACAATTTTCCCTAACATTTATTCACTAAAACTCAAATATTAACTGCTAATGAACTAAGAACCAAATTACATTATCTTCAAATATCTTTGCCCTTTAACAAGAAAAGAATCCTCATAAGCACATTCAAGCACACACTACAGAATCTAAATATGGTTTCCTCCATCTGCCCTGCTGTCCTCCCTCACTATTTCAGTGGTAGGAAAATGACCTATATGAAGAAGCAGAAGAGAAATATGGTAATTTTATCCCCATCTAGTGATGTGCTTGATTTTAGCAAATTCTCTAGTCCTGGAAGAATATTTTAGGGGTTAGGTCTTTTCTAAACTACAAGATTATTTCTTATTTGAAGGGAATTCTAATGCAGATAGATTCACATCACTGAAAACTAATGCAAGGTATGAAATTCAATACATACACCTAATTTCCCCTGTTATCCCTATGCTGAGTTAAAATAAAATACCCTGAAGATACAGAGCAAAATGCCCCTTGAAAACTTCTTAATGAATGCATTTTGATTTCATTGTTCAAATTACCAAGCCTTTTGAACTGAAACCCATTTACAAAACTAGTGTGAGATAGTTTGTCTTTGTGATAGCAAGCATGTACTTTAATGGAAACTGATAATACTTGGCACAGTTATACCGAAAAACATTCTCTTTCTTGGTATACAGCGATTTTAAACACAAATGATAAAAAAGATAGTATAGTCATTTCCTTTTTTTGAATATGTACCTTTAATATTTAGGACACTTTTATTAATATCATCTATCAAACATACATTTTATTAATATCATCTATCAACATATATAAATTTTATTAGTATCATCTATCAACATCTATCATCTATGAACTAATTAAGCATTATTTCTGAATTAGCAACTAATTATTTGTTTATCATGCTTCACTATACTAATACATCAAAATATACAGCTCCAAAATACCTATGTGTAACACAGGGTCTTTCTGCATTTGTAATAGTGATGCTACCCACATGAAACGTGGTTCACAAACGTGAGAAGGAGGGCGGAAAGAACACCAACTCTTAGCAGCTGAAGATACTCATGAATAAACAGCAATTTAATTTGAAGAAACAGAATGGGAAATATGAACAATTCCACACACAAGCTCTTCAACAACTGGGAGGAGACTCCTGACACTGGTGTCCTGGAGCTAACTGGGAAACTGAAGAAGCTTCCCCACCTGGATCGCTGCACCACCAGCCAATCCTCTGTGGCTCCCTCAGCAGTCCCTCACGGGAAAGCAGGCATGAACAGCCTAATCTCCCTGTGACAGCTATCAGTTTTAGAAATGTGTTGAAGGATTAACCAACCAGCCACCTTTTAAGGATCTTTTTGTGAGCTTAGGTTTACGCCTGATGTAAAAATTAGACTCAGCTACATGGACTCAGCTTTCCAGGAGCTTTCTGATTAATTATACAAAGGAAGCACACGAAATATCTATAAACACAATACAAGACAAAAAGAGCCACTTTAAACTGGACATAGATACTCTTACAGCATGAGGATGCCGGGAGAGTGGTTAATAGCAATGACAAAAATTGGTGGTGACCCTGTGGCAACACAGCTGGCTCTGAAGGGCAGCTAAAGGAGATGGGGAAGGCATTCCGAGTAGGGTGCGCATGAGGAGTGGAAACACAGAGGCAGGCCTGAACACGCTGTATGCACACCGTATTTGACATGCCTTTGCCGGGCCTAAAGGAGTTGCAATGCTAGTCAACACTGAAGGGAAACACTTCCAGATGTACAATGGATCAGTGGCATTAACAATAAAAGAAACAAACGCATGCTAACAAATGATTTCTGTCTCGTTTAGTAAAAACAAAACACACAAGTATAATACCCAAGGAGACATGCACTAAACCTCTCGGAAGCACAAGTGAATGAAAGGAGTTGTAGCAAAGCTGCGACTTCAGAGTCGTTTTCTAATAACAAATTGTACCACACAAACCAGAGCGAGACTCGTGAAACGTAAAGCAGACCACTTCTGTGGTAACGACCCTGAGCACCGAGTGCTGCAGTGGTTATCACTCGCCCTCCTGTCCTCTCGTCTCCTTTCTCCCTGACTTCCTGTATCAGGGACACGGGTCTTGCTGCCATTCCGTAGAAATATACCTGGTTTCGTTCTGTTCCAGAACTTTCTGCAGTCTCTGTCTGGTGTGCTCTTTGCCTACATCTTCTATTGGCATCTACATCTCACCTATCTTAGATCTTTACTCTTACATTACCTTCTCTATGAATGTCTTCTGCCCCATTTCCTCAACAAGCATTGTTTATCACCGTTCACTTGTTTCATTCTTTTTCACAGTACTTATATTCTGATACACTATTTATTCTTTGATTTGTCATTCCCTATTAAAATATAAACTTATCTCCTCTTTAAAAAATGATGATTTTGATAATCTACAATAAGATCAGCCCCAGAAGAGATACTCAGAGAATGGTTGTGATTACTGAAAAATATGTCAACTCATGTTAACATGTAAGTACTTTTCATTTCAGAAAATTTTATCTATTTCTTTTTGTAACCAAATGCCCCGTTCTGTCTCTAAGTTACAGTTATTTCCAGATTTTCCTCTTATCTCTATCGCTAGCCACATTGGACGCCCCCTATTTTATACACTGCACTCTTTCTTTTCCATTGTAGTATGTATACTTTCCATCTGGAATGACATTTCCTCAGTTCTTCATATTGAACTTTAACTTTCCCTGGAATGCCGCTATTCATTTTATATGCAAGACTCTGTGCTAGCCAGCCCACTGTGTGTGCAGAGTCTTATCTCCTGTACTCGGTCATCTCCTGATGACACGAACCATTTGTCATTTGTGTTCTATTATAACTTCTTTTATACTAGATACTGGGGACTTTATGTAGTAAGCTTTGAATCAATGACAGGCCCAAACAGCTGAAAATTATCACTCAAATATGAAAACTCTTAAATAAAATACTCAACTGGAGTAAGATTCTTTGCATTTGGAAGCATCTTTGTAGCTATTTCCTTGAAATTCTTCTTCTGTAATCACCTGGTTTCCTAATGCCACAATTACTTTTTTTTAATTTAGAGAATACATGCATTTATTGTCATCACTCTTAGTTTTTCTATATATATAGCAGGGAAATGACAAGAATCAATCATATCATAGTTGCAGGAGTATGTTCAATTATTTAGTATATATTCTTTTTCAGAAATAGCTAACTGCCTAGCAATTATTTTGGAATGATAAGATTTGATTTGGTAGAAGTGTTTGCATGAGAAACTCTAAAAATGAAATGCCTTAATTCCCCAGAGAAGACTCAGCTCATGGGAGTGGCGATGTGCCCTGCCCGGACTCTCACTGGTAGAGATGAATCACTACTGTCAGTGAAAGGAGATTTTATTCTGAGACCACCGAGCTTCTGATGCTATTTTGGTCCTGAACATTTGTCACTGAAGCACTTACGACCATGAACCACCATTCTCTCTGTCACTTAGGCTGGTCAATTCAGTCATCTTCTACTCAGAGCCTGTCAATTTCCCCTTTATTATTTCTCACCCATTTTCCCTATGTTCTATTATTCATTGCTACCACATTTTCTCTTTCTCAACTTTTTAATTGGCTCTTCTTTTCGGTTTTCAAAAATACTGCCACCAAAATCAATCTGCCTGAGAGGCATCTTCACAGTAACACAGGAAAGAGAGCGGTCATTAAAGTCAAACTCCCTACTGGGACTTGATTCTTGGTTGCACCTCTTGTAAGCTGGGCAACCTTGGAAACAGCCACAACCCTTGCTGTGTCTCAGCTTTCTCACTTGTAAAATAAGGTGACCTTAGAGACTTACCATGAGAACAAAATGAGAAACTGTGTGACATGTGACTATAATAGTGCCTAGCACAATATAAATGATCCATAAGTTTGAACTTTGATTATTACCCTCATTGTCATCTCAAACCATTTAATAGCTCCTCAGACACCTTAAGTATAATCCTTAACCTGGCTTATAAAATCTATCATTTACAATTATTCTCTTATTTCTGAGCAAAGTTAAAAGCATATTGTCCCCAAATTTATATATTTATTTCACCCTTGCTAATGCTATTTTCAGAGATGGTAAGATATTTTCCTTCTTCAATCATCAAAATCTTACTGTTTACTTAAAGCCAGATCCTCTCTTCTTTAAGAAAACTTCATTAATGATCCCAGTGTTTTTTTCCTTTATAACCTGGAAGTTTACAATGCCAAGATCATGCATATTGCTCACGAGATACCACCATATATGAGGGGCCTCATCTCACACGAGAGAGAAGACTAGAGAGAAGAAATGTGTTCTTCTACTGTACCGTACATTAAAAGAATACTTTGCAATATTGCTGTAGTTTCATTAACAAATATATCAATGATGGTAACCGCTGAAGATCCTTGATTACAGTTTAGTTTTTAAACTGGCTACGTATTTCTTATCATCTAACTGTTTAACACATTTTTAAAAAGAAACACAAATGGTACTTAGCAGTTACCTAGGAGGCTGTAGAAAGAGAAAAAAAGCACCCTTTCAAATACTCATAAACTATTTTATAAATTGAATGAGTATTATACAGACCTTAGTTCAAAGCCTCATCTTTGGTAGCTGATGTCAATGGGCTCCAGAATCTCTCTCCCTGGGTACATCCTCCTGGACAAGCTGGCAGGAGCCCCGGTGCAGTGAGCTGCTAACCACAGGGCCAGAGAGGAGAGCCCACCAACTGCCTTACAGGAGGAAGACCACGCTCTCTGCTCCAGTCAAGATTTAAAGTGCTGGATAT